GTCACTTCACCTCTGTGAACCTCAATCTCCTTATTTGTCGAAGAGGTGTAATGACAATGATTGGAACGCTGGGATGATCAGATGAGATAACCTATCTGTGATTGCTCTGTGCACTCTGAGGTGTGGTATAGGTCACCTTTCAACCTGCAAAGGTGCCTCCAATGTGAAAGAATTCCTCCCTGTGGTAGGAATTCAGACCCAAGCAGTAGGCAAGTGGAATAGACCATTTGGGGGCAGGGCCACCTTTGGAGGGGCCTTTAAAACCCCACCGCGTGGGCTGCAGACTGCACAGCTCTGACCTGACAGACTGCAAAGTCAGGAAGGCACTCCCACCTCGGCTCACAGACCTGCCCAGCCGGTTCCCTTCCGTACACCTCAAGAAGAGAAAAATAGGAGCTGCCACTTCCTGGCCCTCCCTGAATGTCTGACCCTTCCCGTAATTTAACTGCCTGCTCAGAATAATTACTTTGCTCCTACTTATGAGCTTAGAGCAATAGTAGTTCCCAATAACTAGGGACTTAATAAGGCTAAATTATAATGAGTGTCCTGCGGAATTACATACTGCATTAACACCAAATGAGTTCATTAGAAATTCATTAGGAGTGATTCCTGTGGCTGCCACAGGAATTAATCACAGTTAGCCAACGGCAGGAGAATGGGGGATGAATAATTGCACAGGGAACTGGATGAAGACCTTTTGGCAACTGACTTTGGCCTGAAGCAATAATTTTCGAGGGTCAGGGGCTGCTTTGGTTGTAAGTTTGGAGGTGAGGTTGCTTGGATGTTGTTGGAGCAAACTCCTCCTCCTCCTTCCTGGTTGTGGCCCCAGCCAGGTTATCCCAGTAGACATGGGGTAGGCAATCTTCCTGTCCAGTCCTAGGGAGCTGAGGAATCATAGAGAAGGTTTACAGTTCTTGCCTGCCTTACAGGCGTGCATTTTTCCTTCCCCTGTAAGAACACTCCTATGTTCCTTCCACGTTCCTCGAAGAACTACTCCTCCCCTTGCTGCACAAGGGTCTTTGCGGGACTGTCATTCAAGACCCTCTGCCTACACCCGAGAGTGGATACAGGTCCCTAGCTATAGGCCAATTGGATTTTCTCTCCCGGTACTTTTTAATTAGCTAACATTTATTAAGTATGTGCTAGGTGCCAGGCCCCTTTCTAAGTACCTTCATGTATTGAGTTATCTAATCTTCCCATGTCCCCAGGAGGAAGGTTTAATTGTAAGTCCCATTCTGCCAACAAGGAATCCCAAGCACAGGAGTTATGACCTGTCCAAGTGATTCAGCCAGTAATTGGCCAAGCTGGGAATTTGAGTCTTGAGGAGAGTGCTATTAGGATGGAGGATGGTTGAAGGTGATTCATGGAATGGCAGTACCCTAAGGGTAAAGAAGAGTCCCTCCTTCTGCTCCCTGGTGCTATGTGCTGTCTTAAAGTCTGGTGGTTTAGTTTTTTTATTCTAGTAGGAGCTAGCCTCTACTCACCCACCCCCCGCCTTTTTTTTTTTTAGCTTATCACTAAGAATCAGTGTCCGTTACATCTGGAAGAGCTTTGACTAATTCCTGAACCAACTGACAAGTACCTATAAAGTACCTACTACAGGCTCACCCTGGGTCAGCTGCTGTGCAGGTCACACAGAAGCATAAGGCAGACTTTCTACCTTCTAGTTAGTTACATCTCAGAAAAGCAATGGTAACAATTTAATCCTGTGCGCCCTATGCAGGTTCTAAGTAGAAGAGAGTCAGACCTCAGTGGGCTAGATCAGGGGAAAAGGCATCATGGAGGGCACAGCATGTGAACTCAGGGAGAGGTCACTGTCGTGGATGCCTTTTGAGCATCTCCCCATCCCACAGACCCTCTTCAAAAACTGTCCCTCTCCACCCAGAGCAGCTGGCCCTGAAGGCTGAAATAGGACCTCATGATCCCATTGGTGGGGCAGAGCATCTGGACCCCTGTCTGTTTAGCGAATTCCCCACTGCATGGTGGAAGGTGGAGTTCACCTCTCAGTACAAAGCTGAAAAGACCAGATACCCATGTTCCCATCACCCTGCAGCGATGAGGTGCCTACCATGATTTGAGCTCAACCAGTCAGACATTCCCACTAGGACATTTCTTCTGCAGCTTGTGATGCAAAGTAGCAGGGACAAGTGAATCCATTCTGGTGGTTTGGGGGCCATGTCCAATGCCAGGGGAATGGTGGCTGCAGTGCCAGTGTGCAGTGCCAACGTCGACAAGGGGTGCACACTGCTCAGTCCAGCTTTTGGTGGTACTAGCAATGGGATCATCACAAAACCATTTCTGTGATGTGACTGTGGCTGTGGTTCTATCTGCTTGTTCACTCTCATCCCTGCTTGCTTTCCAAGACTGAAAATTCTGTGACCTAATTGATATCTTTACAGTAAATTTCTCTTCTGCTCAAATCAGTTTCCACTGCTTGCAATGAAGAGCTCTGCCTCCCTGGCCACAGCCTATTGGACCAGGCAGGGGTGGATACCTGACTCATGACAGACCAAACAGGTTGTCCCTCACCTGACTTAGCTTCTGCGGGTTGCTCTGAAAGTCCTGCTGTTTAGGTACACGTGGACAGCAGAGGAAGCGGGTCTGTGGAGAATCAAGTAGACAAACAGAGAAGCTGCACATGGGGAGAAAGAGAGAGGGAGAGAAACTGGTTCCTCTAGTTCCTTATGAAGCCCTCTGTTCTACCCCTTTGGGTTCCCTGAGTTGCCCCTGCACCCTTAAAATATGAGCAAAGAGTGAAAATAGGAAATATGTAAAATGAAGTCACTTTAACCTGGCTGCTTAAATTATTAACATTATGAAGGTTGAGGTATGAGGAAAGACTAGTCTTGTTCTAACTAGCCTGGGAACATAAACTTTTTGAACTTTCCAGTGTGTCAATGCCTGAATCAAATGGATAAACAAGATGTTTTGGGATAGGAAGTCTGGACATGCACCAGACCTCCAAATAATCCTGATTACTCCCTGAACAACCCATGTATCCAGGCCACCTAACATGTATTATCCAGACCACCGAATGTGGCCAACCCCGCTGGCGCCCTCCTCTAGACCACCTGGCATCAGACTGATAACCATTCTGGACCAATACTAGGGCTAAGAAGGCAGGACTGATTATTCTCAACAACGCACTATAAAAACGCTTAATTTTTCTTTCTTCTTCAGAACACTTCTGGCTTTTTGCCTATGTTCAAAGTTGCAAACTCTAAGATCCTTGAAAAAAAAACTTTGTCATTAACTTCTAGCTAAAGCCTCCAGACTTTTTTTGAGCTTGTTTGACAAACATTAGATTGAATCATATAAAATTATTTTCATAGGTCAAGAAGGTCAAATACTAGCAATTATGCACTGTGTAACCTAATAAGTTCCCCCTTTTGGCCTGCCTAAGCTAGCTCAAGTGGGTTTCTTTACTTGCAACCCAAAGGGCTTTGTCTACAACAGTCAGACATTCCATCAGCTCAAAATTCGGGAGTGAAACAGGCAGAGACAGAGCAGAAGCAGAAAACAAGGGTTTTCCTTGTTGGGCAAAAGACGGTCCGCAGCGGGGAGGGTGCCCTGCAGACCAGTAGCTAAGGACATCCCCTCATCTCTGGGCACTGTCTCTGAGGTCGCCATTCTCCACTGATTTATGAACCAGGAACTTCAGCCCCGTACCACTCATCTCAAATAATACTATTCATGTTACTAAATGGTCTTGAATAATGCTTTTGCTTTTGTTTTCTCCACATTGTGGCGTTTCCAACAATAGGTAACTGGTTAATAAATAGTCGTGATATTCTTACGTAGTGAATTACTATATGGCCATTACAGTGATGAATGGGGCTGGGGTGGGCACTCAGGTGGTGGGAGTGATGTAAGAGACTTGCTAAAACTAGTTGGTACAAGGAATGGGGCTCGGAACCACCCAATGGTGAGGGGAGGATGACAGAGCCGGTTCAAACCTGGCTAAAGGAGGACCATGAATTTGTAGAGGCATCACCCACTATTGTGCCTTGTCCTCTGCTTGTGGTCAGCAGTCCTGCAGATGGGAGGTGAAAAGACAAGTTTTTTTGTCCTGAGATGGGACCAGGGAAGCCAGGTGGCCAAAGAACATGGAGGGTCCTGGCAGAGGGAGTGATGCAAGTGAGCTGCAAAGCACAGGAAGTGAGGCTAAGAGTGAGAGATGAACTGGGCCCAGGGGATGAGCTGTGAGCTAGGAGCGTCATTTAGTGGGGCGGGGACTGTTTTCTACTGTGTATCTCCATCTCCTAACACATAGCCTGGTGCTCAGCAAACGTGTATTGAAAGAATGAATTAACGAATGCATGGGTGATAACGCTGGCAGGAGAGCCAGAAACTGGCATTCTGCTTTTCATCAGCGAGCCAGCAGTATTCATAGTGGTGGCGAGCTCCACCTCGGGTCAGGGAGAAGTGAATGCAAATCCAGGCTTCATCGATGACAAGCTGTGTGACCTTGGACGAGTCACCTAACCTTTCTTTTCTGTAAATAGAGATAATAACAGCTCTCTTAGAAGTTTCTTGCTTGGATTAAATGAGATGCCGTGTGTTGAGCACTTTGCACAGTGTCTGGCACTTGCTAAGTACCTTGAGAGCAATAACGGTCTCCAAGATCCTGGTTGGTTCTGAGGCTGCATCCAAACCCAACTGCTGCATTTAGTTAGAGAAGACGAGTGCAGGGTCTGAAGCTAAACTGCCTCCTCTACTTGCCAACTAACTGACCTTTCTGAGCCTGCTTTTTTTCTTTTTTTTCTTTTTCATTTACACCGTGGGGATAATATCAGGACCTGCATAACGGACTGGCTAGGAGAATCGGGTGTTAATTCACATACAGCATTTAGCACATTGCAGATACGTAAGAGATGTTGGCTCCTAGCATTCCCTATCAACTGAGATGGAGAAGCAGGCTTTGGAAGAACAGGCGTTTTGGACATGTTAAGCTTGAGATGGCATAAGACATGAAGTGGAACTGTTAGGCAGGCAGTTGGATATCAGTTCAGAGGGGAGGTCTGAAACGGAGGGAAAAAACGGACCGTCATCAGCTTATAGATGATATTTAAAGCCATGGACTGGATGAGATCACTAGGGGAGTGAGCACTCAGAAAAGACAAAAATGAAGACTGAACTCTGGGGCATCTGACACTTAGCGATGATGGAGACAATGTCACAGCAAAGCTGGTGACCAGACACAGCAGTGCTGAAGCTGCCCAGCTGGCCTGGCCCAGCAACATTTACTTAACGCATTCTTATATACTATGTGCCAGGCTCTGAAAAGAAATGATTTACAAAAGTTAACTCATTTAATACTCATAATGACCTTTGAGGTAGGCACAATGATTATCCCCATTTTTCAGCTCAGAAAATAAACAAAGGAATATAAATAACTCGCCTAAGTTCATACAGCCAGCAAGTGTCACAGCTGTAATTCAAATCCAAACAGCCTGGCCTCAGAGTCCCTGTCTCATCTAATTTCTAACTCTAATTTCTAACTGTGGATAAACAAACTGCTGACTGGACTTTCCAAGAGAAAGCTGAATTTCTTAGCCCCTAACAGAACGAGGAGAATGATCATGCGGTAAATTGCCCTCAGAGGTCCCAATTAGCCTTGACATTCTAGGATCAGCGCCAATTAGAATTTCAGATTCTTGGTTGAAGAAAGAAGAGGCGAGCTTGATCAAGACATCGATAACACTGACCGATCACTTACTTCATGCAGGGCCCAGAAAACTGCCCAGGCTAGGAGGGCAGGAGGATACCCAAGGCTTCTCCTCCGATCCTGGACTCGGGCACCTGCATGTCCCACCCGCTTCACTAGTTACTGTCAGAATCACAGCAACTGATTGGAGGCAGGAGCCAGAGTTCAGGTGGGAAGTTAGGGCTCAAGGGGATTAACCTTGGGGCTCTTCTTTATCTCCAGGAGGGTTGCTCTATGGGGTCAATTGCCCCATAAAACTGAACTGTGATACAAGGCACTTTGAGTTCATTTACCCCTCTTGAAAGGCTCTCCATGAATGCCTGAACAAACAGCTGAAGAGAGAGAGAGGCATGGCATGGGTAAAAGGGAGGGAGGGGGCAGATGCACACATAGACTCCGGTGAAGTCTATGTGTGCAGACTCAGGTGTTCTGGTGCCATTGTTGTCCTTTCCATGCTTCCACCACTCCCATCTGCCATTGACACTGACCTGGATGAGAAGCTACTAAGGAGAAAACAGTTCTGGCTGCGCAAAACAAAGTCGATGGAAAAGGGAATTGAATGGGGGCCTGGAGAGGCCATCTGGTCGATCCTGCCAGCTCTCGCTCACGTCTCCCGGCCTGGAGTTTCTCATCATAACTGTGCATCACAACCCCTGGGGAACTTGTCAAATGCAGATACCAAGATCCTATTCAGACCTACCGAATCAGCACTTTTGGGGGTCAGGGCCCAGGGATTTCTGTTTTTGTTTTTTTTATAAGCCCTTCCCTCCTGCACCCTCAGCAGTGTATGATGAAGACCACACTTTGAAGAACACAGTCTCACAGCCTATTCCAGACTGATCTGAACAAATAAAACGGAATCAGCAGTGTCCCAGTGCCTGGGTTCATATGCATATGGAAGTATGAAATGCAGCCTCTCTCCTTGAAGGGATTACAATCTAATTGGGAGATAAAAGACACACTTTGTGAAGAGTTAAATTAGTGCTATAATAAGTAGTAATTCAAAACGATAGGCAGATAGGCTGGACAAATTGCCAGTGAGTAGGAATAACTATCACTCATTGAGCATCTACGAAATAGTAGATCCTCTGCTAAGCACCTTATTTATATACTCTCATTTAATCTCATTAAAACTTTGGAAGAAAGGTATTTTTATTCCCACTTAATAACGATTAAATTAAGGCTTTGGCTTATTTGTCAATTCCTCTCAAATCAGCTTTTCCTGATCCTTAGGAGGTGGTCAGCATGATGTCCCTTCTCCCACAATATCCCAGTGTCACACCATGTTGTCATTGCCTGTTTACTATACTGACTCTTCCACAAGACCTGAAGACAGTTACTTGACAGTTCCAGAGTCTAATACATAGTAGGTGCTCCAGTAACGTTTGTTGAATGAATCTAGGTTATGTGTCTGAAGTCTCAGAGCTAATATGTGAGGCTAATACATGTGACTCTAAAGCCCAGGTTTCCCCTGAGCCATTACAAGCAGAATGTACATAGTAGTCTGATTCCTATAGGTGACAATCTATAGGTTGCAGTAATCAGAGAAGGCTCTTTGGAAGAGCTGGAGAAATAATTTGAATTTGGAAAGAGAGATGAAAGGTGAGCAGACATTTCAGGCATGCCAAGGCATGAAGGTGGGATTCAACAAACTGCACACTTCCTCCAAGACTAGAGACCCCATGGGATTTTAGGAGACTGTACCCCATGTACTAAGCCCCTATTGCTTCCCAGTTGTCACCTTATATCTAATTAACATTCATTCCAATTATTGCTGTTAAATTGTTTTCCTCCAAGATTCACAGAAAAATGGCAAATGCTCTATTGTTTTCCCGTGCCGAGACTAGGGTGATGTAATATATTCTATTAGCGGGTTCTCCATTTGGAAAGTCCCCTTTAGTAATGAATGGGATAGTTTTCAGTTTCCATGAAGAAATAAGATCCATTAATGTCTATGATATAATACTAATTGGGGAGAAAAAGCAAAACAAAACGGGATCTTTGTTAAAAAGAACAGAAAAAAAGTATAAGCACAAATACGTTTGTATGCATGTGGGAAACATCTAGAAAGTTACGTACAGAATTTATCAGCAGCTGGCTTTGGAAAATGAGAGGTAGTGGAAAGTGAGGCTTTCACCTTTACCTAGTTTTGAGCTTTTGTCTTTTTAAACATTGAGTATATATTAATTTTACAAGTGAAAAACGACACCCTAAGTAGCTTTCAGTTTATTAGTGTTTTGTCTCCCCCCAAATTTTCTGCTATGAACATTTATGACTTTTATAATCAGAAAATTAAAAGCCCTTTCCTCCATACAGGTTGTTAAAAAAAGAAAAATAGGTTCTCAAGATGGCACAATTTGTGATGTTGAGGGGGCAGAAAGTTTGGGGAAAAGTACTAAAGATGTTTTAAACTCTGCGTCTTGAAAAATTGAGCACCCAGGCAAGCTGAGCATAAACCAATTAAGCCCTAACTTGGCAAAACATGTTAAGAGCTCTAAGAATGTTCCAGGTCCCATAACTTTGTAATCCCATCCTGGGGCTTTAGCTCAAGGAAATGCTTTTTAAAAAATCTTCTGCTATAAAGAAGCTCACTGTGGCCTGGCATTTAATGGGGTGAGCCGGGATCCCCCTAAGAGTCCAACAGCAAATGTTATGTAGCCATTTCTAACCATAAAAATGGCAGCGTTTTAGAAACATGAGACTGTGTTTACAAACTAATGATGAGCAAAGAAAGGTAGAATGTATGATTGCATTTCCATGGTGATTCTGGCTATTATATATCTGCTCTATTAGAGTCAGTGAGAAAGCAAGGATGAGAGAGAAGGACAGAGAGAAGAGTGAAAAAGAGAAAAAGAGCATAGAAAAAAAATAAAAATTACAGTGTTAGGGTAATGGGGTTATGGAGGATTTTGGAAATGTCCTTAAATGATGTTGAAAGTTGTTTTGGTCGTAAATATGAACTATATACAAAGGGGCTCTGTGACTTTGGGCAAGTTACTTAACTTCTCTGAGCTTCTGTTTCATCCTTGGCAAAATGGGGACAATAATTGTACCTACTTCATAGAGTTGTTTTGAATATAAAATGAGATAATCCATGTAAAACACTCAGCATCATGCCCAATGCATAATAAATAATAAAGGTTAGCTATTATCGTCACTATTTTTTCATCATCATTATCAAGGAGGGAAAATCCTCATATTCTCTAGATGGGAGTGTAAACTGCTATAGCTTTTCATAAAGGCAGTAGAGTAACAGATATAAACATTTTATATGCAAAAACTCTTTGTTCCAGGAATCGTGTATCATCCTTAGCAAATAATCTTCTTAGTAAATAATCTGACATACGCACCAAGAGGTGTGAACACGAATATTTATCTTAGAGTTATTTGTAATAGAAAAAAGATTGGAAACAACCTAAAGATCCAATAATAATTGTATAAATTACGAAGCATACAATACTCTAGAGCTATTAAGAAGGACATGATATATTTTTTGTAATGATAGATATGTAACTGTATCATTACATAAAAAAGAGGTTACAGAACAATATAACCCCATTTATATTGGAAACTGTATGTATGCCTTGTAAAGTCTAGGATAGATACCAAACTATCTCTGCCAGGACCGTCAGTGACTCTGAATTACAAAATTTTAATATAATTTAGCATCAGAAAATCGATGATGATGATGATGGGTGTGTTGGGGTGGGTTAATATGTGTATGTATGGTTTTTAAAAAAATAAACCTTAGCTGGTGTAAAAAATGCTAAGATTGGATATTGAAGACTGGCAAAATGTGGCAAAGTTGGTTTCATCAGTTTTGAACCACTGAGTCCCAGGTCTGGGAGTTAGCCATTGTGGTGAGTTCTGCTTTGGGCACAAAAGATTGGGATTCATGGAGAGCCGTCTCTGGGAAAGAAGACAGACTTGCAAAAGTTTTCTTAATAATAATGATGAGAGCCTTTGTAGAGTGTTTCATATTTTGCATTGTCAATTTGCTGGATCCAGAGGACAGTCCCACGAGATAGACAGGGCAGGAATCATCACCAAGGAGATGGAGTCCCCAAGCGTGAAGTGGTGTCAGAAGACAGAACAGGAACCGGAAGTCAGGAGTCTGAACTCCCAGCCTTCTCAGCTGTGAGACTTGAACAAAGTAAAATTCATTGAGCTCCTAGACCATGGCTGGCACATAGAGAGTCTTCATGCACCCTGGCACCTCCTCCTCCAAGTCGGCTTGCTGGGTTTGTGGGCTGCTGCTTTACTCTGCTGCATTATCTGGACCCTTCTTGTATCTACCAAGTTCTCTTTGCTGCAGCCAAACTATTGTTTCCTTTTACCCTGGCCGTTCTCACCTTTATCACACTGTTCCCTTATCCTAGTATGTTGTCCATGTTCTCAGCCTGCTCCAACCTTACTGCTTGTCTCAACGTCCAAATCCTATTGTTCCTTCAGGACCTGCCTGTTTCGAATGCCATCTCCTACACAAGGAAGTACCAGCCAGCTGGACACCATCACTCCTTCCCCATGTCCCAGGCCACACATTCTGCTTGCACGTGTTTTCTTCAGGTATGTGTGTTTTGTCTCTGGACTAGACAGGAAGCTCTCTTGGGAAGGGTGTATGTCTCGTTCAGTGTTTCCTCAGTGCTGGCCCCATATGCAGAGGGTGCTCGATGCACGTTGGTCAATGAATGAGGGATTGAAAGAGTACATAAGGGATGATGAGCATGGCTAGAGAGTAGGACATGGATGGAGGGAGGGGTGAGCAGAGCAGATGATACTCTACATACACCCTGAGGTAGTGCTGGCTCTGACCTTGCTGGGAATGGCAATGGGATTGCTGCCAGCATGTCCCCAGGTGAATAACCTTACGGCTCTGCCCCTCCAGGTCCTGCCCACGTCATAAAACAGCAAGCATTTCCTCTTCAGGGGCAGGAGGGAGAAGTGGGGTGACTTAGGGGCTGAGCCTCAGTCATCCGGGAGGGTTTATAAGCTGGGGCACCAGATCACTCAGTTCCATGAACCTTCTTCCTCATCTCCCTTATCCCTGGCCTCCAGGTCTCCTGGCAGCATGGCCTTCAGCAGAAAGTATGAGATTGAGAGTGAGAAGAATTATGATGAATTCATGAAGCATCTTGGTGAGTGGGGTCCTGAGTACACCTTCCCTGGATTGGTCTGCAACAGCCAGCTCTGGGCCAGGAACCCGAATTCCTGGAGTAAAGCAGGACAGGACCCCATATAGTCTTTCATTCACTCCCTCTTTTGTTGAGCAACTACTCTGTCCCAAGCTCTCAGGCCAATAAGAACCATAAGACTCTGACTTTAAAACACTTAGAGAATTTTAGTATCTCCACTTTACTGATAGAAAACTTGAAGCCCAGAGAAGTTGAGCTACTAGTCCAAGGTCACACAGCTAGAAATTAGTGAAGTAGAGACTTGATTGATTTATTCATTCGAATATTTATTGAACACCTGCTATATGCAACGGCCAACCCAATGTTCCTGATGGCGGTGTCTCAGTGTGACTTATCCAAGCTCACACTGTAAATCAGTGGCAGACGTTATCAGAACCCAGGACCTTATGATGAGAAGATGGGTGCTGTCACCACATCCTGCTTTGTAAGAGGTGACTAAGGGGTTAGCATAGAGACTAGGTTTGATAGACGATCAGTTCACTCATTGAACAAACAAAGACCTCTTACTGTGCTAGGCTCTTTGGGCAGAGAGATCAAAGCCCTTGCTCATCTACCACAGGCTTTGCAACATCGGTGGTGAGGCACCAGGGAGAGAGTGGGCTTGACAATCCTGCAGGAAGCTTGGTGAATCTCTAATTCTGAGGCCGTGAGACTGTCGAGAGTCAGAAGACAGCCCCAAGGGACCAGTGCCCCACATTCTGGTGGCAGAGAGGCCCCCAGAACATAAGATTGCAGTTTCAAACCCAGATGAGTCTGATTCCAGGGCCTGGGCTGTTCATCTCTAGGCTACACTGGGAGGCCCTGGGGCTTTAGGGAGGCAAGAGCCCTTCTGAGTCAGTTACTGGGAGTGGCCCTGAAGTCAGCCACTTGGCCTCACCTGCAACAGTCTAGTGTGGAATCAGAAGCGAGCCAGCCTCGGTTCTAGACTTGCGTCTGCTGGGAACCTCCACTGAGATGCTGGGAGTCCCCTTTCCTGCTCTGGGTTTTCATTTCCTAATCTGGGAAATGTGAGCTTCCGAAGACAGTCCTGAAGGTCCCATTCATGCTTGAACTTCGTGAGCTTGGCAAGTTCCTGTTATATTTATGTTGTTACTATCAAAAAGAGCAGCTATGATTTATTGAGTGTCAACTATATGGCAGGAACTTTAATCCTGGCAACAGCCCTGTGAAATGGGCCTTATTATTCCTATCTTGTGGATGAAAACACTGAGGCTTAGAGAGGTACTTTCCCAAGCTGGATGGCTCATGATAGAACTGGGTTTGTGCTCGTAAGAGTCAGGCTAGCCTGCTGCAGCAGAGCTAAGCTCTTTCCCAAAGCCACAGGTTATAAGTAGCTCTTATGTGGCCTTTCTGCTTGTCCCTGGGCCCAGGGCTTCCCAGTGACATGATTGAAAAGGGTCGCAACTTCGAGATTGTCACAGAGGATGGGCAGAACTTCACCTCATCCCAGCACTACCCTGGGAGCCACTCCATGACCAACAAGTTCACCATTGGCAAAGATTGTGACATGGTGACCATAGAGGGGCAAGAAGTTCAAGGTGAGAGGCCACTGGCCACTCTTCCCTCCTTCCCCAGGCCTCTGGCCAACTTCTGGGTCTGAAACATGTCCCCTGGGGCCACTTCCCAACCTGAGGTGTCTCTCTAGTCTAGCCTCCAGAATGAAGAGCTTAAGTTACTTGGCAATTTAACCATTCCTGGGTTTTAATGCTATCATCAATAATAAAACTATAATGATAATAAAAATTATTTGCTGAGCACTTAGTATATGCCAGGCACTTGCTGAACACTTCACACATGTTAACACAGTTAATCCTATGAGATCGCTACAGTTACTACCCCGGTTTACAGATGGGGGTCGGGCTGAGCCATGGGATTAAGCAGCTTGGCTGATCACATGGGGGCGGGGGGCTTCGGAGAGCATAATCACTTTTTTTATGCTGCCTCCCAGTGTAGCCTAGAGATGAACAGCCCAGGCCCTGGAATCAGACTCATCTGGGTTCGAAACTGCAATCTTACGTAGCAAAAAAAGTGAAAAGCGGCTGTTTGTCCCCATCCTACCCAGACTAGTCCCTCTGGTCTTACACCCATTCTGGGCCCCCTCTGGATCCCCCAGCCATGACCATGAGAACTCTGCTCCTCAGGCTGCCAAGGTGGAGAATCAGTAGTCATAATATTCCTATTATGCTATTTAAAAAATTTAACAATCTCTCACAATGTCTTTCTGTGTCAGCATATATTGATTCGTCTTATTCCTTTTAATGGCTGCACAGTAGCCTATAGTATGGAAATTCTATCATGTATTTAACACTCTCTTATGGATAGTCAGGTTATTTACCTGAATTAATCTAGGTCAGATACTTAGCTTGTTTACAATTAAAACCAATGCTACAATCAACACCTTAGACGATATCATCATCATCCTAATAATGATCTTAACTAATCCCATAGTTAACAAGGAGGGCACGCCACATACCTAGCACTGTTCTAAGCAACCTACATATGTCATATTAAATCACTTAATCCTCACAATAACTCTATGAAGTAGGTACGGTTACTACCCCCACTTAGGGATGAGAAAACTGAGGCACAGCGAGGCTGAGTGACCCGTGCAGGTGATCTATATCTTTGGGTCTGTGTAATCGTATAGCTATGAAGCAAATTAATTCCTCGTGGGGGATTGCTGGGACAGCGGGCAGGCCCTTCATCTCTGAGGGGCTGGCCTGCTTTTGGGGGCCTTTGCCAGCTCAGCCTCAGTGTTATGCTTCTCCTCCAGGCTACGGTGCAGATGGAGGGTGGGAAGGAGGAGGTTGACTTCCCCAACTATCGCCAGACCTCGGAGATCGTGGGTGAC